CTCAAAATCTGGGACCAGTGCATCTTTCTAAATCATTAAATAATTCAACAGAGCTATCATAAAAGTACTCAGAGATAAAGAACATTCAAAAAAGCAATTCAATGAATTACAAGAGAACTCAGAAGAACAACTCAAAGAGATGTAAGAAAACAGAAAATGTAGAAAATTTTGCAATCTGCAACAATGTAGATGGAACTGGAGGGAATTACTCCAAGTGGAATATGAGAGGTGAAAAGTCTGACAATGGGTGATTTCACTCATATGTGTGTGTGGGTGGGGGGGGATCATGTAAAGAAGCGGACCAAACCAAACTCAAAGTGACTGGAGAACTGAGACTCTGGGGGTAGGGAGGTGGAAGAAGAAAGGCAAAGGGCAGAGGGTCCTCACTGGCCTGTGGTGAAAGATTTGTGATGCTTTGTGGTGGGTGTGTTGTGGTGACATTCACTTGACAAGAGAGAATCTGCAGGTGAGTGACAGTCAGGCTCTCATGCCACTATCCGCTGTGGCTATCACCTGCGGCCTTAGTTGTGCTCACATAGGTGCTTGGGAGTGTGGATCCGTAAGCCTAATGGTGGACACCTGGGGTATGGTGTGGGCCTGCGTAAGTGTGCACACCTGAGTCTGGCTCTGGAAGCTGTCAGGACAGTGTCACCACATAGAGGTGCCTGCGGTGGAAATGCTGATCGAAGACAAGTGACCACAGAGAGCAGGACTACAAGATGATGCCAAAGAGAGCCCAAAGAGAAAGAGTAAGATTCACCAGGGTCTGGAGGCCTGCCAGCCTCTTGTCCCCCCCACAACCCCACCTCCCTGCCTTGCCAGCCTGCGGGCTTGCCCCACAACCACTGGCATAGAAAGAACATTAAAACTTGAAAAAATAAATTCCTGAGGGCTCTGGACTCCACTTTACCAGTCTGCCTGAATTGAAAGAGAATGGGCCTGTGCCTTGCTTCCAAAACAGAATCTATACACACCTGAAACATACACTGAGTTATAAACCAATGTTATCTCAGTCAGAAAAATTAAATGGGGCCTTCCTGGTGGAGCAGGGGTTGAAGTCTCAGCACTGTCAAGCTATTGCCAGCCACTGAGGCATGAGTTTGATCCCTGGCCAGGGAGGTGACCTACAAGGTGTAGCAGACACCTCTTACTTGTACCCCAGTCTGTGTGAATAAATAAATCTTTAAAAAAAAAAATGAGGAAAATGCACTGGACTATGGTGATGGCACAGGGTGATTTGGTGATGGGAAGTCCATGGGGTTTACAACTGAGATGAAAAAATGTACAAAATGATGTAAAAATAAACTACTGTATATATATAAAACAAAAAACCCTATAAATTAAAAACAATAACAAACCAACAACACATTGAGAGAATCATACACTGAGAGGGATTTATTTCAGGGTATCAAGGATGGTTGAACCTACAGGGATAAGTGTGCTTATGAATGAAAAGAATCAATACTGTGAAACTACCCAAAGCAATCTATATAATCAATGCAAACCATACCAAATTATATTGGCATTTTTCACAGAAATAAACAATCCTAAAATTTGTATATACTCACAATAGGTACCAAATAGCCAAAATAATGTTAAGGTGAACAAAGCTGAGGGGCATCACACATACTGATTTTTTTTTTTTTAAGATTTATTTATTTATGCATACAGAATTGGGGTACAGGACAGATAATGTGGGGGTGAGAACATTCACCAGAGACAGAGGAACAGAACAGGCAGATCAACTGAAATACACTGCTGAAGGGAGCAGCAGGTGGGTCAGGGGAGGTCTACCGTGCCATGTGGGTCACCTCCTTGGCCAGGGATTGAACTCATGCTGCAGTGGCTCCAGATAGCTTTGTAGTATTGTGCTTTAACCCATTGTGCCCCCAGGGAGGGCCCTAGAGAGGCTTTTTTCAATGTGCCCAGAGCACACATACTGATTTTAAACTATATTACAAAACTATAGTCATCAAAAGAGTATAGTATTGTCATAAAAGCAGACACATAAATCAATGGCACATAAATACAACAAATGAGAGCCAACAAACCCACAATTAATTATGGCAAAAGAGTCAAGAATATACAATGGTGAAAAGGAAAGCCTCTTTAATCAGTGGTGTTGAGGGAACTGGATAGCCACATACAAAAACTATTCACAATCATGCAACTAAGATCAACTCAATATGGATTAAAAAATTTGAATGTAAGAACCAAAACCATAATACTTGTAGAACATAGCTGGTAAACCATTGGTCTTAGCAATGAATTTTTTGATTTGACAAAGCAAAATAAGCTAGTGGGACTATTATCAAAGTAAAAGAAAATTCTGCATGCAAAGAAAATCATCAACAAAATGAAAAGGCAACTACTGAATGGACCAAAAGATTAGCAAATCATATACATATACTGGATCATGGGTTACTATATATATATATATAAAATTTGTATATATTATATAACACAGAAATATAGCATAATATATGCTTATATATATTTATAATAAAAATATTAACTAATTTTGTTTTATAAAATTTATATAAGCATACATTTATATACATGATATAAAATAAATGTATATAAATTTTATAATATGCACATCATAAAACACACGTAAAGTATATACTTATATTTTATGGTACAATATTGACATATAATGTATATGACATATACAAAGTAATTCATATTAAAAACTTTTATAAATAACTAATAGATAAAGAAATAATTTATATAAAGAACTAATACAGCTCAAAGGCAAAAACCTCCAAACACTTCAACAACAAACCACACAATCTGATTAAAAAGTGGGCAAAGGATCTGAACATTTTTCCAAAGAGAACATAGATAGCCAACTGATATCTCTCTATCTCTCTCTCTATTTAACCACCAAAAAAGAAGGAAATCATGCTACTTGTGATATGGAGTGGCCCTTTAGGGCATTACACTAAGTGAAATAGGTCAGACAAGAAAAATACTATATAATCTCACATATACATGGACTTAACAAACCTGACAGATTCACAAAGCAGATTGTTGGTTGCAATGGTGGGGAATGGAAGTATCAAAAGTTATAGGCTTTGTAAGGTAAACAAGTGCTGGAGATGTAATGCATATCATGATAATTATGGTGATTACTACATAGCTGAAAGTTGTTATGAGGGCAGATCTTAAATGTTCTCATCACACGAAAACACTATGTATGGTGATGGGTGTTACTTTACTTATTGTGCTGATCATTTCCCAGTAAATACTTGGATCAAATCATTAGATTGTACACAGAAACTAATACATTATTAATTGTAGCTCAATTTAAATGAAAGACCCTCTGAAATCTAAGATTAACTGAAAAACTGGAAATCTCTCATCTTCAAAGATAAAGGTTTAGGAAGGGAACTGTGAACAACTTACTTTTAAGTTGTCTGACTTATGACAACTACAGTGATTTTGGAAAGCAAGAAAACTAAGTTTAAAAGTAAGATTTTGCTGATGTTCATTAAGCTGAGTCCAAGCCACCTGACCAATTACTTACATAGAAAGTAGTCCTACAGAAAGATAACAAACTAGTCTTTGTAAACAAAAGCAATTTTTTTTATAACATAATAGTTTATTTTTACATCATTTTGTACATTTTTTTTTTTCAATCTCAATTGTAATCCCCGTGGGTTTCCCATCACCGAGTCACCCGTGAAAAGCAAATTTTTTAAAGAGGGTTTTCCCTTGGGTCAAAATGGAGAGTTCCCCATTCCTTATTCTTAGACCATTTGCTTGACTAAACGTGTAATTATAAATTCCATATCTCTTTTAAACATAAATGTAAATACCTTAAAAGTAAGTCTCTTTACAAGCCCAAAAAGTATTTTTAGTGGCTTTAAAGTCATCTGTTTGAAAAGTAAATACCAAAGACAACAGAACCCTGATGTCCTAGTCTCTGCCTTCAGGGTGGGCACCTGTCTCCATCCAGCAATAGTAACCACCTGCATAAAGGGTACTGAAAGTGGTACTATCCCGGGTGAAGGCAATTATTGATCACTAACAGCCAACCCAATTCCCAGTGAATTCGGGATGACCTGTGTGTAGCAAGTGGGGCTGTTTATCTTGTTAAAGTGCAGGTAATACGAACAGATTATACCACCTGGATACATAAATGAGAATTATCTTTGCAATCCCATTATAATGCAGATTGTCCTGTGCATGCCTGTCTAGTAATGCTTATTCAATAACACTAAATAATATTATTCAAAATAATAAAGGTTTAGTTCCTTCCCAGTTGGAGGAGTTTCTTGGTTTGTAGAAGTACTGTCTTTATTACCTTCACAACTTCCACAACATGAAATACCCTTCCAGAACTTTCGCCAAATAAGAATCCCGAACGCACCAATTTTCAATTACAGTTAGCCAAAAACCTAATCATACGCTTGTCTATTTCAATTTGATCTCCCTAAGTGTCTCTTTTTCGGGATCTCATTTCAGCTTTGCATTTACGTGGACCCTGGTGACTTGGAGGGCACCTCCCCTCTCAGAAACCGGGCAAATCAAGCAAAAGTCGACGCACCGCCCCTTTCCGCGCCGCCCACCCCGTGGCGTTCCTTCCTAAAGGGTAAAAGCGCGCAGAATTTCACACCAGTCGGGGAATCCCTTTGGTAACACACGGCCCGGAGGCGACCAACATGCTTTTGAGAAACCTACTCCTCCGGGGTGACGCCTATTTTGGGGCGACGCCTATTTTGGGGCAATTTTTCATCCCAGGACTTGGAACAAAGCGAAGGCAGGCAGCGGCCTCGGACCCTGTCCTTATCCAGTCAAGGTAGGGATCCTCCTCCTGCACCCGGCTTCCTCGCGCTTCCACGCGTCACCCTCTCCTCTCGCTCAGCTCCTCACTATTATCAGGCGCACCTGAAAGCCTCGCACACCTGTGGCGTCTTCCACCCGCACGGCGACCCCCCGCCCCGGCCTGGGAGGCCCGGGTCCCCGCCCACCTGCCAGGCACCCGGTGGCCTCACCTACGGACTTCGAGGGTCGTAGCCGCTGCTCGCGGTGGCCTCGCCGCCGACCCCGCGTCAGCCGGTAAACGTAGTAGCAGGCACCGGCGCCCAGGACCAAGCCCGCCGCCACCCAGCCCGCGTTCCGGGCGCCGCCCATGCTGTCGCTGGGGCCCTAGCGCAGCGCGGGGCCTGGCGTTGGGGACTCCGAAGCCTAGTGGGTCGCGAGGCAGATAAAGCTCTGGCCTGCGGCGAGGAAGGAAATGGGAGTCGAAGCTCCGCCTCCCGGAAACCGCCCAGTTAAAACCCTGAAGCCTCCTGCCCCGCCCCGGCGCGTCCCGGCTGCTTACACGAGGCGAGAGCAGGGCAGAGGGAGCCTGTGAGGAGTTGCACAAACTGCGGGCCCAGGGGAGAGACACTGCGGGTGGCGGGCGGGAAAACAGTTTCCTCGCTTCTTCGACCCAACCGTGCCGCGCGAGTCCCGCGGCCCCCCAGAGTCTTCTACTTGTAGGAATCACCCAGCTGCCCCTCTTAGCGCAGCTTCCGGCCCCGCGTTGCCAGGGCAACGGCAAGACGCGCTAGCGGGAGGCTTGGGGCGCGACTCCTTCCGCGCTGGGCGCGGGGAGCAGGCGAGCACGCGGATTTTCACTCAAAACCCTGGTTATGTCTTCGCTACGCACTGCCAGCCCCGGGCTGAGGAGTTACTTCAAGGAGAACTACATCCCTCAGATATGTGAGGTACTGGAGCTTGGTGGCTGCGGAGTTAGAAGAGGGAGGAGCCAGAAGACATTCGATTCAGGTCTGGGGTTTGGAGGAGAGGGAGTGAAGGAACGAGAAGCGGGACTGGAGAGGATAAAGCTAGCTTTGGACAAGTAGGCGGTCTGAGAAGAAGCTACAGGTCAGAGAGAAGAGGGGTGGCTGAAAAGTGGGAGTGGGTGACTTCTACTAAGGAGAAAGCACAGGGCCCCCAGACAGAAACCCTAAATTCTAACTTAAGGTTTGGACAAGAGGACAAGAGTAGTGAGAAAACCGTGCTCTAGAATCCGAAGAGGCAAATCAAGAAGAGTGGGCATTAGTGCCGCCTTAGATGACGCCCTGATGGGGTTTCGTGGATTCGGCCCACGGTGAGACTGTGGGGTTACAATGGAGCGGTGAAGGCAGTTTAAGGTTAGTTGAGAGAAGGGAAGCTAAGACCTTTGTGAACGGAAGGACTCTCAACCAAGACTGCTTGTATGCCCACCCCTACAAATTATAACCGGAGGGTAGGAGTATAGTTCGGGATAGGTAGGTTTGGTAGTAGGAAGCCAAGAGAACGCTCCTTTTGTGATTTCTTTACAAATATTGGGTGAGATACTTACCATGAAGATGTATGTTGGGGTGGGGATGGAGGGTGCAGAAGGGCTTTTGAATAGAAGACAGGTGGAGGATGTGGGTTACCAAAGTCTAGATCTAGAAGGAAAGAGAAGGATCATGGGGCATTGTTGAGTCCTAGGCAGTTGGGACGGCAATTTGGCACAGCCCCGCTTTTCCTTTGCAATTTTAGAAGGTATTTAGTAAAATGTTAAATATACAGACCCTTTGGCCAAACATTTTTGCTTCTACTGAACCTACTGAAGAGCTCTACTGGCACATGTGTTCAGAAGGATGTACAAACACACTCATTTTAACACTGTTACATAGTGAAAATAGTACACAATCTAAATGTGGATAAGGAAACTGGACATTATATCCAATAAAGTATATCTGCACCTTTTGAACAGAAAACCCTCCAAGACAACTTTAAAACAAAAAGGAAATGAAAAATGCAAGTGTCTACTGCAAGCTAGCTCTCTTCACTTATGTATGCATGTTTACATATATGTTACACCTATCTAGATTAAGATAATTCATAGAACATGCTTTTACCATGTTCTGTTTTTTCCTTATTTTTTCTCTGTGCTCGTTTGGATATTGTTTCATTGACTGTTTTCAAGTTTACTGATTCTGTTTCATGCTGTGTCCAGTCTACTTTTAAATGTATCGATTAAATTCTTAATTTCAGGCAGGTTATTTTTCAGTTCTGGAATGTCAATTTGACTTTTATTACATGTACTGATTAAAATTCTGCATCTTTTCATCCACTTTGTTCATCATTTCCTGTTTTGTTTAACATGTTAATTGTTACTTTAAATGCCATTGTCTAGTACACACTTTGGGACTCCCCTTGGATATGCACCCAAATCTCGATATCTTTTGTTGAATAAATTCCTTTCCTGATTTAAATAAAGAAGTAAATAAAAAAACATTGATAAATGAATACTTCAAATCAAATTATTAGAATTTAATTATTAGACTAGAATAAATGTTCTTTATTCAAATTACCATCAGGGTTTTCTCTCCTAACTTAACGTTGGCGGACACTGAAAACTTAACTAGAAGAGGACACCACAAGGGAACTTTTTGGGGAATGTGAAAATGACTGGGATAGATCCACTGTCAAAATTTACAGTTAAGATCTGTGTATTTGAATTCATGCAAAGTTTACCTAAAAATTATAATTGAGAGCATATGGTAAAATCAGTGGATCTGTAGATAATAATCACAGAAGGGTGATAATTGTTGAAACCGGATGTTGGGTACATATGAATGCATTACACTGTTGTTTATATGAGTTTGAAATATTCCTTAATAAAAAGTTAAAAGATAGTCATGGATGGGTGTTTTTTCCTGATAATTTACATGGCTGGGGTAAATAAAATAGGCTCTTGTGGGATAGGAGATGTTGTCACATGCATTTTGGGAAGAATAATCATCCACATCTGACTTTGTTCAGACAAAGGGGAATTCGGGTCAAAGTTGGATGTCAAAGCATTATCTAACTGAGGAAGATGTGGATCATAATAGTATCACATGAGTCTTGAACCTTCTATGATTATCCCTTTTTCCTTTTCTATGTTCCCCAGGAACAGAGGCATATACACTATCTACTTCCCTATTCTTTTTATTCTTTACATGCTTATTCCATTTCCTCCTCCTTCCTCACATAGTCCATGTGCTTCCGGGAAGCTTCCTCTCCTCATCCTGGTCACCACGGTGTGATCATGGTGGGTGGTGGTGAGGATCTTGGGAGAGGGCAAGCTGTGATCCAAGAGTTGGCGTACAATTGGAAGGCTGGGATAGCTGTGTCCATTTCTGGACATTGGTGGAACAGCCTGTAACCCTTTAAGCCACTGGCAATTACTTTGTTTCCATAGGAGGTGGTTTTAAAGAACCTGGATTCCTGGAATACCAAACAAGACAAAGTAGGGAAGTGGAAAGAAATCTGGTCTCTAGTAACATCAGAAAGTCATTGGGTTAAACCAACCCTATTAATCTACCTTTGGAATTAATTGGAGCCAAAAAGTTCTATGTTGAATAAGGTTTGCTACTTGAAACAATACAAGGCAATTATCTCTTATGAGATACTCTAGGTTTGCTTCCTGGATTTGCCAGTTACTAATTGTGTGATGATTTCGAACACATTTCTAAATCTCTCTGCCTCGTTTTCTTTATAGTAAGATTCCAGATAGGTGAAAAACAGACTTGTATTTTCTAGTGTGGGAGAAGTGATTGTAAAAGGGAAAAATGAGGAAAGAAAATTGTAAAATGTGTTCCCAAGCAGATCGATTTTAGGAAAGAATACATATGAATAGTGGGGATCTGGAAATTGATTCCTTTACACTATTTATACTTAGAAAATGTGTGTGGACCTCCTAGAGGTTTGCATACCCAATTTAAAGACTACTGGGTTATGTGTTCAATTGAAATCAGTCAGATAGGTTATTATTTCAAGAACAGATTAAGCTCTTGACATCCATCAACCTTTTTGGCAGGGACAGCAATAGTAGTCAATATTCCATTTGCGGGGGATCTACTCTGTGCTAATAGAAAACAATGACTTTTAACTACCACCATCTGTGTTTCTGAAGCCGTTTTGAGCCCAAACTTTTCTCCTGAGTCCTCTGCGATTTTACCAACTTAAGTGTCCTACAACAACAAAGAAGGGAAGAGAAATAGGTGAAATTAATTTTGATAGTCTATTTTATATAAGCCAGTCTATTCAGAATATAATCACTTAAACATGAATTCAATACAAAATCATCTTCAGTCCTCCACTGGGGTACATTTTTCACCCACAGCACATCTCAATTTAGACTAGCCATATTTGAAGTGCTCAATGACAATATGTAATTACTAGCTATTGTATTTGATAGTGCAGATATAGAATATATTAACATTTAATAAGCCAAGGAAAATTTCTCTTGATCTAGGAATGATAATTATTCTCTAGGAGGTTATTCTCAACAGAATCAACTTCTGGAACTTCAGGAAAAGTCTGAATATCACAGTGAAAGCATAGGAGCTGTCTACCGGCCAGTTACCTCCACCCCAGGGATCACTGGGGTCCCACATGGGGCAGCTGTTTTCACGTGCACCAAAGGGCAATGATACCAATTTCAAATCCTCAGAAATCACAGCACTTAGATTTTGTGAAAATAAAAGAATATTAGCAAACAATAGACTGCCTGTTGTATCCCCTCAAATTCATATGTTGAAAGCTAATCCCTAGTGTGATGGTTTTTGAAGGCAGCCTTGGGGAGACAAGAAGCCCTCATGAATGGAATTAGTGCTTTTATACATGAGTCCCCAGAGGGCTCCCTTACCCCTTCCATCATAAGAGAGAACTGCAAACAAGGAAGCAGCTCTCACCAGATAAAAGAATATGCTTGTGCCTTGACCTTGGACTTTGTAATCTCCATAATTATGAAAAATAGATTTCTATTTTATAGGAATCACCCAATGTATGGGGTTCCATTCTAGTAACCCACATAGACTAAGCCATGGACTAGCCCTTGAAATCCTTAGCAGAGAAGGACCCTGGGAGAGATGGCTAGGACACCAGTGGCCTTCCTTCTGTTTTGGGGATATTACCTAACTTCGGGGACGCGCTGTATATGCCTCCCTACCCAGATCTACACAAATGAAACCTTTCCTATAAAGGACACACACACATACACACACACACACACTCCGTGATGGCTAGTATCTTAGTCTTTTTGGACTACCTTAACAAAATAGGAGAGCGTAGGTGCCTCAAACAACAAAAACCTGGGATTTTTACAGTTCTGGAGGCTGAAAGTTAGGTTCTGGTGAGGGCATGAGGGCTGTCTTGCTGGGCTACTGCCAGCTGCTTTCTCCCTATGCCCTGACCTAGTACAA